CTTGAATCGCTAAAAGGATCCAGGTGATAAGGTAACACTTCAGGTATGTTTGGACGGACGTCAGATGCAGAAACCATTCGAGGACTGCCGTCTTTTGCATTGGAAATCGGTAAAATGAGCGATATTGTTGAAACTGACTCAGGGCTCCACATCATTTGGCGACTTGCCTGAACCTTTCAGTCGTTACTAGTTTGTATATTTGCTTGTTTCTCTTCTGTTCATAATGCTGTATGTCATGCGTTGAATTTTGGCACTATTAACGACTATCTTCTGTACCAGCGTTACTCAGACATCTTTCTTCTGACGTTTTCGTCTTTTTTCCTGCAGTCCGGTTCGCTGCGAATAATAGGGCGTGTCCGCGCGGATGCGTTTGACATGCTGCCAAATTCATTCTCCACCAATTGTCTGAATGACTATAGCTGGTGTAAAGCAATAGATGTGAAATGATGCAGTCCTGGCGCCAGGCGAAGGAAAAAAAATGAAAAAACCACGGTTGGGTGCCGCGTCAAGCGCGGCCGCGCGAACACGCCCATTATCCGCACCCAACCAGGCTAAAACTGGCTACTCCATCATGGTCGGATCAACTGTAATTGCCAGAAGGTGCAGTCAATTTGCAGGGGTGAGAGAACCTTGCCATGATAGCGCGTTCATTTTCGTGAGCGCGTTTAATCCGAGTAACGTTGTGCAATTGTTTTTACTGCTCATTTTTTGATTCTGTTTTTATTACTGCAATAAATGAGTGGTATACCGTATAAATGTGTAGTGTGCTATTGTCCATATGTCTCATACTCCACTATCGGCAATACTCATTCTTTCCTTCTGTATGCAAAAACAATTGCAGAATGGTTACCACAGATTGTTACCGAACGGTAGAGGTCGAGGTGCCGATTAATATTGCACTTGTGAAATATTGGGGCAAAAAAGATGAGGTAAGGTCTCAATGCTTTATAATCAGAGCTTCCTTATTTACACGTTTTTCTCGTCCTCTATCGGCTGCTCGACGTTACGCGAAATTCGGAATAGAATCGCTCCTAAATCTGTGTTCATACTCTGGGTCAAAGGTTTGGGCGCTCGACAGCATCTCGAGCATCCCTCGGCGACTCCGGTCCTTGAGCCTAAGCATTCGTTTGGGGATACAGAGGGGCGGCCGAGCGGTCTCTCTTCCTCTCTCCCTCCTCCCGTCAGGTTGGCGCTCTTAGCACTGCTAACATTCAGGAATTTGCTGCAAAACGGGATGTTTGCGAGGCTTTTGCTTCTGGCCATGAGCTTAGACAACATCTTCATTTTATGCAACATTTGGAATCGAAGTTGTCCAGTTAAGTGGCGTCTCAGGGCACTTGTCAACCGGGAAGCCTCTCCTCTCTTTCATTTTTTCTTCCTCCTTCCTTCTTTTCCTTCCTTCTCTGATCCCTCCTTTACCTTCTCCCTCCAACTACTGGACTGGTAGATGCCTCGTGAAAATACCCCTGGACCCTCGCAGCGAGAGCACGTCTGGTTGACAACAGCCCCGTAACCGTTAAGGGTCTGAATATTCCGTGTACTATCGCCGCAAATAATACTGTGTTGTCCTCAGGGCATGTCATGCGTTGGGACTCCCTGCCAAGGGGTGGGGGTTACATTTCCCTTTGAGCAGAATGTTCGGTTGTTGTCGGTTACTGGCTTTTCTACGTCTTTCCATCTTTTCACCGTTCCTTGTCTGTTACATAAACTCGCTCCCTCTCGCTCTCCCCCAAGCAGTTTTTTTTGTGGAAAATTTGGGAAATTTTTGGAAAAAAGTACTCGGGAGAGTGGTAGGAACTGGTGGAGAAATTGATATTCGATAGGATGGTGGGTAGGATAGGGGATGGGAAGGGGGGTTGTACTAGCGACTTCGACTTTCGAGGAAGTAGCATTATGAAGAATTGTTTTCTCGACTGCAAGACGTGCCGTTGTTGTTCCTAGTGTGTAATTATAGACTTTCAGGATCTCATCATACCTATCAACAACTCAATTTCACTGAACGTTGATGCTCTTTGTGCTCGTACTCGGGTACAATGTTCTCCAAGCACTCTTTCCGATTCGGTGACGATTAATGGCGTTGAATTAGACCTGGACTCGAAGAAAAATCGTCGTTTTCGGCAATGTCTAAATGTGAGTTTTTTTAATAGCAAAGAATGTCCTACGTTACTTTCAGTATAATTTCGGCGCTGTTCGGCTTAAGGGGCGCATTTTTGAAGTTGATTTGTACGGCTAGTCCTTTTTGCTTGTACATGCCAACTAATAGGTCTAACATGAAAGGGACATGTCAAGCTGCGAAGTGGTACGGAGCCGCTTCAGTTACGATGATTTGCTTTTCAATGTGGCTTGTACAAGCTTTCTTGAGCGCTATTTGGGGCGCAGCTGCCAGCCGTCGTACTGCTACTGCGGTGCATTGGCCATAGTTGTACCTTCATCTTTTGAGCTGTACAACTCGTCCAGATTTCATAACATCTCGATTGACGTAATTGATGGACCTATATCAATAGGATGCGAGCAGAGACGCCGAATCCCATACCGATAGTTGAAAGTTAGTTGGCCCGATAAATCCCTAAGACGAGTAGGATTAATATGCCTAGCAGGACGGAATTCTGCGCCCCTAAGCAGGCGCTGCGTAGCGCCCTTCTCAAGGAAGATATCATTATAAAGCGCTACCAGGCTGCATTCTATCAACCCTAACGCCACCACGCCCCCCCCCCCTCACAAATGGAACGACCGTACCTGATGCTCGTATTGCTTCATTTGCTAAGTAAAATTGAAACGAAGGGATTGATATGAAGCGGCCGCGATGCTGCATGGATATATGAGTACATACATGCAGCCGTATCTACGTAGCGGTTATTGGCAAGATGCCTACGGGAAACTCGTCCGAAATTGCTTTTTGAGTCATTAAAGCAAGACTTTCACAGGTTTTGACCTGTTTCATTTACGTTTTGGCTCATTCTTCTACTGTACAGCACCGGCTAGCATTTCGGACCGACTACGCTGATATCGTGGCCAATAGTGCCTTAACTATTTGTGTGACTATATAAAATATTAAAAGACAGCTCCCGCGATAAAACTCTGCATGATAGCTGTTTTTTTTGCTTTCAATTATGAAACAGCAGCTGATAAGTAATCTCCCAAAGAAGAAAACAGGCAAGAAGCGTTCTCCAGAACAACATAAACAAAATCGCTCCCTCACAGTTACACCTCCCTGCGGTCTCTGTGCAGCCCCTAGCTCACAAGTCTCTCTATCACATCTCGCAGTAGTTGATATCATCCAGTGCAAAAGAAAGAATACAAAAAAAAACAACAAAAACGCAGAGGAAAAACTCTGGGAAGGAAAAAGGAATTTTATCAACACGGTGTCTGAATTTGTGATTACGGTAGGCGCACCTTTTGTGCGTCGTGGTTTTGCATCACGAAAATTGCGTCACTCGTGTTTTTTACGCGTTTCACCTCGCGAAATGGGTTGAATTGAATGTATATACCTCCAATGAGTAAACTGTAATGAAGGAGAGCAGAATTATCCAGGGGCATTAGCAATGCCCGCCGCCCCAACTAAGAACAAGTGAGTGGCCTCCGTCGGAGGACATCTAGCAAGTAAAGGCGGTCCGACTGAGGAGGAGTTAGAACTAGCACTTTGAGCGGCTATAGCAGCCTCCACGCTCACAATAGAGTCGCGAAAGTGAACAGTCTTCTAGCTTGGAGGCTAGATACTTGCACAGCAAAGGCGACCACGAGCTGCTTTGATTCGCGGGCTGTCTTTAATATTAAAACCATTTGCTCTTGAACAGTTTTCCGACTACTTTCCCTGCCATCGACGTGAATATAAATTACGTCAATCGAGATGTTGACCGGTTTGGACGAGTTGTCTGGCCCAAAAGATGAGCTGTTGAGGCGGGATGGAGGTGGCAGTTACGACCAACGCGCCTTGGTAGCAGTATGTTCTGGCAGCTGCCTCATTCGACTTCCACCCGTTCCTTTTGTTGCTACATTAGCTTTTTGCTTTCAGACTGTACCGACTTTCCTCTGGTGTTTCGGCGCTACCTAGTTCCCCTTTTCTTAGTACACCCCGCAATTTTTAGTTGCTCTCTTTTTTCCGACTTCTTCATCCCTGCTGCCTTATTTTCCTTGAAACTGTTGTTGTTCTTGCAGAAGCCTTTTCACAGTCGATGCTCTTTTTACAATATTCTCGATTTGTTAATGTTTCAGTGTGCCAGGGAACTAGTTCGACAGCGTTCCTCGTCAGATGCAGGGCAGGAGTGCAGTTTTCAGGTTGGTTGAAGCGTTCTCACTGAGCGTCTTAGAACAGTTATAATCGATTTGCATAGTGTGTCTGAGACTTGTGGTCATCAAGAAAAGTTTCCGGACACTGCCATTTTTCTGTATCTGCGTAATACTGTATAATGTTTAGATCTCTTCGACAACAAACTTTCCCGTTGGCGCAGGTCTCGCATCATCAGCTGCAGGTTTTGCAGCCATTGCCTTTGCAATTGGCACATTATTTGATCTTCCAGTTGCGGATATATCAGCTCTAGCAAGAAGAGGTAACCACTTTTCTATACACAAGTCTTAGTCCAAACGGAAACTGGCAGACCTTCATCCTTCCTTTTCTTCAGGATCAGGAAGTGCATGTCGGAGTGTGTACGGGGGATTGGTGGAGTGGGAAGCTGGAATGTATGCCTTTCTGGTCGTTGACATCAGTTGGCCAAATAAGCCCAGTGCAACGTTACGTTGCTCACCGCTCCTGAGGAAATTTATTTATTTATTTATTTATTTATCATGCACACACGGGTGCGCTACATTATGAGCGAAACAGATAAGTTACAAAACAAATCGACACAAAGAAAAATAACCAGAACATCAACAAACTTGGCAACACAAATACTCACAAGCGGAGACCGTCCAGACCCTAAACTTTCAAAAATCTTGATGTAAATAGTCGAAAGTCAACTTCCGCTTAATTTCCTTTAAAAACAAGAAGTTTCATTGAAGAAAGGGCTTAAGGCCGCGAAACGTCGCCGAGAAATAAAAGACTTAGAAGAATCCAAAAGATTTCATTCCTCTAGGGCCCACCTGGTTTTACAAGCTAATGAAACTTGCTAAGCAGTAAACATTTTAATTTGCACCTTGCGAATTTATGGGTTTCGTGCACCATTGGGCTTGTAACGCCATTTCGAGCTTGACTTTTGCCACCCTAGCTGCAATACTGACCTAGTGTCGATGACCTGGTTGGGAAACAACTGTAGTGAAAAGCCTGTTTCATTCCTCTAGGGCCCACCTGTTTACAAGCTATGAAACTTTGCTAGCAGTAACATTTTAAAAGCAACGCTGCCGCGAGCTTTGCGTCAAGTATTTACTCATTACAAATGATGGTAAATGCAGCAGAAATGGGCAAAAACGAAAAAATGCTCAAACTGCTGCCATATAGACAAGCTTGCTTGTATCGCGCTGTACCGTGCACACGAAGGCCAAAACAGGGCGGCCATCATTGTTTGGGGATCTGCAGTCGAGTCTGTACGACCCGCCCTTTTTCCCCTTTTTTTTGGGGGGGTGGTAGCGAACCCCCGCCCCTCCTCCGGCCCTCTGTTCCTCCTCATCGAAACGAGCCGTCGAAGGGGCGGCGAGTCAAGCGCCGCTCCCACAACGCCAAAACGTAAATACGACCACCCCCCCCCCCCTTACAACCATCGTGAAGCGAGAAAAAATCAACTATCAAAATAATTGCCCCAGTCCAATACACGTCCTCCATGGCACCCAAATACGCCCCCCTCCCCTGTTGGGGATTCTCCAACAACAATGGTTCCCCTGGGGCAAAAAGAGGGGCGTGCTTGGATGAGTTCCCACTCGCTGGTGTCAGCAAGTGAGGAGGGAATGCGACTCGTCCAACCCGCCTTTTCTTTCTCCTTATCACCTCACTCGCACCACTCAAAATGGAGAGAGAGCTGGTAGCGGAACAACCGCATCTCCTGGAAGCCTCAAGGAATGGAAGTTGGGCGTTGCGATGGTCAGGGGACGGGGCGATCCTCACGTATTTTTGAGCTGACAGAAATGCTTGGGCAGGACATCATGTCCAAAGAAGGCGCCTGAACATCAAATGAATGCGGGGTGTGCCTTTACTATGCGACGTGCCATGCAAGACTATCAATAACAGGGCAAGGTGTTTAGGTATCCTGACCTCAATTTAGCGGCGCACAATATGATAATCTTGTCAAATTTCTCTTTATTCTAGCAGCGTTTGCCTGAAACAACGTGGCCTGAGCTTCGCGTTGTTGTGCTGGTACTCGATGACTCGGAAAAAGAGGTTGGTAGCAGTGAAGGTATGCGACGTACGGTGCTGACAAGCGAACTGATGCACCACCGTGCCAACGTTGTTGTTCCAGAGAGAATCAGGAGGTTCGTTGTTTATTTGTTTGTTTGTTTGTTGATTATATTTCTGACAGAGTGATATTTAGGTTGATTCACGCATTCCAGTCACATGATTTTTCTGAATTTGGACGCATCGTTATGGCCGATAGTAACCAACTTCATGCTGTTTGTATGGATTCATTCCCACCTCTTAAGGTATGTTTTACGCTTTTCCGAGTCGTGGCGAGTGCGGCGTAGGGTAGGCGCAGCAGGCGGGGTGACACACGCAGTATTCGCACCAGGATCCAATCCACTTAATGTACCAGCCTGCCATACTTCGACTCTCTCTGCGTCGGCGTCTTTTAAGACGACTAGCTCTCCCTGTGCCTGTCTAGTCAGCTAGCTAGGAAATTCTCTGCGTTTCTGCCGCGACGCAGCGACTGGTAAGTAACGCTCCACTCCCGAGTCGACTAGCTAGAAATATTATCGTCTTAATGGTAGGTCCCTATACCGATACCCATAGTAACCCTTTAGCACTGCACTTGTTTCTATCGCTGATCCTGCTGACTTCTTCTTACTTTCAGTACTTGTCGGATGCATCATGGCATGTCATTAGAACAGTGAATGAGTTCAATGCTGAGAGCGGGATTCGTGCAGCTTACACCTTCGACGCTGGGCCAAATGCGTGCGTTTTTGTAGAAGAAAAAGATTTGAAGGCATTTCTAGAGCAACTTTGTCAACAGTTCGTTGTTGCTGAAGATATCGTAGCCAATTTTTCACAAGCGGCAGGTGATTTCAGTTGCAAAGCTGCTCCTAGGACTTCTTTTGCCATTAAAAATGTCGTCGTTAGTAAGGTTGGTGGACCACCGAGAACTGTTTCATAACTTATGTCGTGTCTGATTCGCGGGTTGCTTTAGCGACTTTTCGCTCTCGTTTGGCCCTTCTTCCGGTATAGCGTCCCCTGAACACTATGCTAACATCGCATATTCCAGTTGTCAATATACGAAAGACCACCCGAACTGTTGCCCCTGGGTCCACGTTTGCGCTTTCGTAGCTTTAGGTGCTCTGGCACCAGCCTCGTTTGCGCCCTCCTGCTTACCTATGCGCTCTAATCTTGCGCGGCATGGCAGCTAGTTGTATCATATCCAGGGCATGTTGTGATCTCCAGTCTCCATTCCCTTGAAGACAGTGGTCACAATGGTCGGAAGCGGGCGGTTGGGAAGCGGGCTGTTGCTGCCATCGTCATTGGTGTAAGGGCTGAGAGCAGACGTTTGGCCACACTTCATCAAACCTTCCAGCAGGATGGCAACAACCGCCCGCCCCACCCATAAGGCTGCGTTTATACTTTGCGCGCAGCGTAGCGTAGCGCTTCCAGCGTACGCCAGCGGCAGTGTCGGGGAAAGGATAGATATCGATCTAGCGTTCCCAGCGTCACCAGCGTACGCTACGCTGGCGTAGCGAGGGCACGGGAAGCATAGCTATCGATCTAGCTTCACCAGCGTTTCTCCAGCGTTTTCCCAGCGCTTGCAGCGACGGGGCTAGAGAGGGGCTAGAGAGTATTGAAGGAGAGTATTTTGTACTCTCCTACTTTCAATACTCTCTAGCCCCGCTAGCGCTTGCAGCGACGGGGCTAGACAGGGCTAGAGAGTATTGAAAGTAGGAGATGTTTTACAAGTCTGCACTGCGTGGCTTTCCATGAAAGCTGAAGTAAAATATTTATGGGCATTCGTACACAGTTTCTTCACTTAGATGGCGCTCAGTGTTGGGAGTGCTCAAAGGTTAGGGGAAATTACTCGCTTAGCACTGGTTTTTTTCCGCGTGTGCTTTGAAAAAAAAACGCAAAAAAGGCAACAAACCGTGAAAAACCATGCCTCTTTCAGGGGGAAGGGGTCGCACGGACTCTACCAAGATCCCAACGCATGATGTGCCCTGATCACAAAACTGTAAAGTTACTCTGCCACTTACCAACCAGTGTGTTCTAATTTCATATTAGATGTGGGTATGCTCCCCTAAGCAGTCCATAACTCCTTTCATAGTGTTCCGCAGTCGATTCGGGTGATGGGTGCATAACCACCGCCCGAAGACACCAGAGGATACAAGGTACATTGCAAGCAGTCACTTCGACCTACCACCCTTCTCTGGTAAATTATGGCCAAGGGATTTAACCCCGACGTGTCACCGCCTGTCCCTCCATCCGGATGAGGTTAGCGCCAGCTTTTCCCGCAAAATATGCCTGGAACCATTTCAACTTATTCCCTGCGACTACCGTTGTTTCAGAAGGACCCCCCCCCCCCCCCTTCGGAGCGGCGTGAGCCTGTCCTGTCAATTCTCCTGATCAATACGTATCTAACCCTTTTCGCGGGTTCTCCGACTTCCCATTTCCGCGCCAATCCCGCGCTAAATTCGAATTTGGTTGAATTGTTGAGTTTTCATTCGGGAGTTCAGTTTCATGTTGATTTTGATGTTAGGATGCTGTTGATTTTGCAATGTTGTGTTATTGTTATTTATGGATGCGTTGTTATCTTCACAGGGTATTTTAGAATCAAAATAAATTTTACTCCGTAGTAACTCTAAAATTATACAACACGACAGATTTCATGAAACAATAATTGAGTAAAAACATCCGCCGTATTTCTCTACTCATCTTCCATTGATTTCCTCTCTAATTTCGGAATCGGATAGCCGTGTTTAGCATCGGCAGCAGGCCAATCGTAAATTCTATTGACGGATTCTTGATAGTCACTTGTGTAGATGTGTTGGCGAATGTATAATTCCTAAAATTGCAAGTTGTAGTTGGATGAATATACAATTCATCGAGTTACCCCTCAAGGTATCGTTCAGACTTCGCGATGACGCGCGTCAGCGCGCTGTAATGCGCTAGCGACTAGTTGCGATCGGTAGCAGACTGTTCGCTTAGGCAACGCATAGCCTTCAGTTCCGCAATGCACAAGCGCGCGCCGATCGATTCGTGCCTGCAGGCGACGTTGCCGTCTTTACGGTTGAAGCGCTGTTGCAATTGTCATCGCATCGCGTCATCGCGAAGTCTGAACGCGCTGCCTTAACCAGTAAGAAGCCGTCGGGTAGGGCAAATGCTTACGATATCGTGCGGTTCGGGATACAATGTAGCGAGGTTGTGATGGTAAAGATATTTTGCAACCTGTAAACAAATTATTTTTAGGTTAACGGGGGGGGGGAGGGCAGCGCCCCAAAACTGCACATAAAATAAAGGGTGTGAGTCCTTATAGCTCCTGGTGTTCTGAACTTATAATCCGGTTAAAAAAATAAACCCAGAACTTATTCGTGTATGACTGTTTCTTTTTCTAACCGCTTGGAAATGGAAACGACATGAAATCCCTGAGGGACAGGGTCAAGTTTGAGATTGGTGAGGTAGGGTCCAAAATGTAAGGGACACACACAGGCCGAGTTGAGCGCCGCTCGGTGTGGGCGGCGCGTGCACCTGAATGGGCGGTGCTTGCTGCTGAGCTCCACAACATATTTTCGGGACATTTTAGAGATCGGGAAAAATCAGGGCAGAAAATTTTGTGTGAAGTATGTCTGCAGTGTACGTGACATCTGCGAGTACCAGCCTACAGCGCTCAGATCGCGTACATTAGAGGAGCCGGATTACCCAGCAAGTGTCTGAACTGGCACAACCAAATATCGATGTTCGTCCTGCCAGAAAGTCAACTTACCGCGACGGCGATTTTTATTGACAACTCGCGGATGTCCTTAAGACGAGGATAAAGTCTCGAGTATTTTTCCAGGGATTTCTCTGTCACACTAGTTGACACTTCCTGGAAATTGACCAACTCTTTAACTGCGGAAGAGCTATGTGAAGCGTTAAAGCTTCTCCTTACAGTAAGACTGACCCGGGCTGCTAAAAGGAAAATCTTGTCGGTAATGTGCTTTGAACTGAACAGTACAGCTCCGAGCCCAACTCCGGGGAAAATATAGGCATTGTTGCCTTGGCCTGGTTTATACGTTTTCCCTTTGTAGACCACATTTTCGAATGGCGAACCCGAAGCAAACAGCACTTTTCCCTGAAAGTAGTTGGAAAGTTGTATTGATAGTGATTTGTGGATCTCTTATTGTTCATCTGCTCACATCTGTCAGGCGAATAGCTGCTTCAGCTGTACATTCCGCATTGCTTGTCGGGTTTGAGAGAGCGAATATTATCGGTCGTTCGTTATTTGCTGCCATCGTCTTGATAACTGCTTCGGTGAATGCGCCTCCCTTTGTCGACGCCCCTACAAAAAATTATGCGATAGAGATGGGAGTTGGGGAGGGATGTGGGCGGGGGGGGGGGGTGGGGGTTGCACGCTGCGACGCTACCTAGGCTCACTAATGGAACTCACCAGGACAGTGATCTCTTCAAGCTCAGTCCTAGAAAGATGATCAGAATCGGCGCGATCGAAGCCACCCCTCCCCTCCCATCAGAGCTCGAAGTCAGTTGTGTAACAAAACCGCGGCCATGTTTTGCCGCGAGACAGAATTTTTCATGGCTGATTTTCCCCGTCCTCTTCCCCACTCGATCGCAAAATCTGGTAGGTTCACAAGACGGTAGGTGGGATGGAAGGGGTACCTTATCAGAGAAGGAAATTCTGGCGAGGAGGGGGTTCTCACAACCTGATGATGTGAGTGGTGTGCCCTTCATCCAAGTCTAGTAGCACCAGTCGAGCTTACCGGCGAAGAGGAGTATGACATGACTATATAGTTGATGTCCATCCGTTATACATTCCTTATTCGTGAGGCAGAGTAGGCAGGACGTTTGGACATGGCATAGGATGGGTTACTCGTGGGATGTCTCTGTGTGAGACAACAGTCATCTTTTGTCAGTCGTGGACAAAGACATGATTGCAACTGTACCAAAATGAAGTATCTCTTTAAAAGCGCAGTCACCGCCACGTTCAGTCGAAGTACGCTGTCGTGCCCACCACATCTCAGCGATTCCGACTGTAGCTGTCCAAAGTCGGTTTCTTCCTGCTTATCGCTGGTGTGTTCATAGTCGGCGATCGCGCGGCCCAAGTGTTTGTCGCTCGCTTGCGGCCACTTACTGCAGTTGGGACATCACGCGCAGAATTTCTCAGCTAGTTGACTTAATACGCAGA